CCCCCCCCCCCCCCGCCTCCAAACCCTCCTTCCAGTTCATGATTTGGTCATCCTAGGTTAGACTATTTATAATTCTCAATGGAAGAAACGTTCAAATAAATTTCTTCTTTATTCTTTTGTTTAAATTATCCAAAAACTTAAGTTGGAGATTTGATCACTTAAATTATTATAGCCGTGAGACGATTAATGACTATAAATAATAATTCTAGCAATGCGCATCGCATGTACTTAACTTTCTTCTCGTCTCATGGGAAGACGGATGGGGGTGGGTCATGGGTCGTTTGGCTGAGGGTCATAGGTCGTTTGGCTGAGGCCTCGTGTTCAAAGATGCCTCAAATGTTCACTTTGAATTTTTTATTTAAAATAAAATTTTATGGAATTTGTTAAAAACCAAGTTCTGATTCGAAACTATTTTTAACCATGTTTACGAGACTATCCAAAAACTGATGTGGCACATGAATTGTTTCCGAAGTTCGGCTGAAACCGAGACAAAAATAAAACCGGCCGGGTCAAACTGTGACCCCTGATACTAAAGCCCATGCCCATATATTTTAAGATACTCGCAAGCTAAACATTTATAGAATCAAATACATTTAAAACGATACTATATTTTGAATTGGGGCAATTGGGGAGTACGATGACCTACTGGTGACAATGAAAAAACGCAAACTTCAATGGTACGGCCACGAAACAAGGGAACAAGGGCTTGCCAAAGAAATATTGTAGGGCACCACAAGAGGAGGGAGAAGAAGAGAAAGACAAAGAAAAAGATGGGAGGATAACATCAAAGAGTGGGCAGGACTAACACTGGGCGATGCTGTGCGTAGTGCAGAAGACAGAGACGAATGGAGGAGGATAGTTCACATGTCATCTGTCGCGCCCCAACGGTCCAAGGACTGAGGGACATGATGATGATGATGATAGTATACAACTGATAATTATCATACCCCACATTGAAAGTTGATCTGATCTTATAAAGACATAGATAGTTTAAACAGATTGATTTTTGATACTTGGCAAAATAGTAGGGATATAGGCTATAGGCCCTAATTATAATTTACATTGGTCATAGATTATCGATGGAAACAGTGGCGTATCATGACTAAATGCCACCAGGGGTAACTCATAAAAGTGTGTCCCTCAGCACACATCATTGATAAAATGTTAAATATAAATATCAAAAGTGCTGGTTAAAGCATAAGTGTTAAAAGATTTTGAAAAAAAGAAATTAGGCCAACAAACAGGCTAAAAATAAGTCATCCAATTTTTATCACGACCCCCCCCCCCCCCCCCCTAAAAAAAAAAATAATTTATTCTTTTTTTATTTTTTTTTTTTGTACTAATCTTAAACTAAGCGAGTAAAAGTACTAAAAGAGTGAAATCTGAGAGTTGGGTATTTCTGGGTTCTTTTCAACTTAGCTTTTTTTTTTTTAGTGGCAACACAGGTCTTGACATCGCGATTTGTTTCAAAATGGCGGTTAGTACAATACGTTCATCTATCTCGAAATGGTGATGATGTGTTCAATTGTCAATATTTAAATTGAAAGGGTAATAAAATTTATTCTGTAACATATTTTCATTGTCTTAATAAAATACTTCTAAGTTTTGCAATTGAATTGTAAGTACAAAATTGTAATAAATTAAATCAATATCATGTGAATGTGAGTGTTAAACTCTTAAACTCACTCAGCACTGTAACTGTAGCAGTGTAGTGTTAATGATGTTCTGTCAGTCATGATGATTCACGACTCACGATATTCTGTCTGTGTCACACTCATGTGTGTGTGCACTGTAAGGTAAAACTAAGACTTAAGACTTCTTTATTCATTTAGTTTTAGTCTTAACTTAATAGTAGTATATTGTGATAGATTGTTAACTTAAAATGTTGTTTGATTGTTTGGACATGTCAATGGATATTAAATATTAATATTATTATGAAATCAAATTGTTATAATTTTTAATGTAGACCTGTTGAAAATCATGTCATGCAAAGCAACAAGAGGAATAATAATATTTAAAAAAAGCCTTGAACTTGAAGTTTCTTATAACTGAGTTATAAGACTATAAGTTATACTTTCACTACTTATATTTATCAAACTGATACTCCATGCCTTCATTTTGTCTTAATTCAGGGTTAATGAAAATAGACTAATAGACCGTTAAAAAGGGTAAAAATAAACCTTTCAGGGGTAATGATAAAACATTCATGGGTAATGATGGACCAAAACTAAATAGTCGAACTAAATAAGTTGAGTTTGATCAGTGATAAACATTATGGAATGAGGCAGTGTGATAATAAAGTAAACATTTTATTTCAATTTTCAGGTCAAGGAAAGAATTTATATGAAAATGGAGTTTGATGCTCAGGTAAATTGCTTTCTTGAATTTTTAAATAACTGCTTGAGATTTCTTTTTTCTAAAATTATTTTGGATTAGTGTTTTTAATTATTGGCCAGTTTGTAAAGCATGAATTGGCTGAAACTATAGATTAGAAGATGTGAAGACTAGGCTCTACAAGTTTTGTTGAACTATGCCTAGACAATAGTGAATTTTATTGAACAGATCACAGCTTATCTATTTTGAGTGAAAAAGCTTCTACATAATCTACATTTTTAAAATACATATGTACACATATGTACACAATGGGGGTTGAGTATTACTTTTTTGGTTTGTGGAAAAAAGTACTTTGCCCTGTAATATCTCTTTACCTTTGTTAGGGCCAATCTTATGGCAGCATTAATTTCAACCATGAGTGATTTGTTATGGGGCTTCAATGC